CCCCCCCCCCCCCCCCCCCACTTAGAGGGCTTACTGGAAGGCCATTGGAATTTAGAATAGGAAAGCTTGGGCACGAATCAAGCTCTCCCCTGCGAGCAAGACAATGGCTTTCCAATTATTTAATGCCCTCCTAGACTCCTTGTAAGTACTTCCACCAGTTGGCTGGACTTCGTTATTCGCAAGCAAACATTCTGCAGGCAATGAAAACTATTCGCAAACCGCGGACTTTGTAAGTCAGTAAGAAAATGACACAATAATAACCATAGTACCTATTATTCCAACTATAATGTTTTGGGCTATTGGCATTAAGCAGCACAAATTTCGAATTACCCGTGCAGTCCAGATTGCAGCCCAATTTTTCTCGTTGAACTTTCAATGTTCAAAGGCAAGCATCTACCGGTCTGGTAATGCTGTGCTCTTAATGTCACTACTACTTCTTCAATCTCCCTAGTTTATAAAGAACCTGTACAGGCTGTACTTATACCTGTATAGAGACCACAAGGTTGCCGTCCAGTTTCTCTCGTTGGATTTTCAATGTTCAAAGACACGCACCTACCGGTCTGGTAATGCTGTGCTCTTAATCATACTATTACTTCCCCGATCTCCCTAGTCTACGACAGACCTGTAGAAATCTTGAGCACCTGCAGTTGTAAGTGCAAAAATTACTACTCTATGATAAAGTGCTTGAAGAAGTGTGCAGGCGTAAGAGCTTAAGTAATTTACACTTCTTGAGGCCTGAGCATACCGCACTTAAGCCATTGTGTCGCCGAAATTATTGAGAAACCTTGCGCGAAGATCTAAGGACAGTTTTCTTACCTGTATCATCAAGAAGATCGCAGATGAAGGGCTTTGGAATTATTGTATAAAAAAAGACTTTCAAAATACTCATAAAAATATATTCTCATCCAAGACAATTTAATGGGAGGTGTGTGTAAATTCCACCAGTTAAATGTGGATGAAATCCATTCAAGTTTACAGAAAGCTTAGGTAAGATCGTGAAAGTCAAAATTTTGCAAATGTTTTAAGTAAGTAGCAAAATGGAGTTTAAACATTGTTACTAAGTAAGTCTATATAAAGTTCTATATAAAATATGTGCATTATTCTGTGAACAAAAGAAACACTTTAAAGAGTTGAAAACAGAAACTAACTCAAAGTTGATATAGCCCTTCAATAACTTTTTGCATCCATCACCGAAGAATGACGGATGTGTTCATTTTGTCAAAACGTCCAGAAGGAAGCAGCAGAGAGTCCACCAACAGTATATATATTCTTGATCAGCATCCAATTCTAAATCATTTAGGTATGTCCGTCTGTCTCTCTGTCTGTCTGTCTGTGTAAAGTCTGTTGCAAACTGTCTCCTGGCTGCAAAAATGAAGCTATCGACTTGCAATTTTGTAGAAAACATTGGAAGTTCTTGCACGCAGGCGGCTATTGAAAAGGAGAAAATCGGTTGAAGTACACGTCCACAACACAAAGTGAACTGAGAATCTCTCTGTTTTTTAAACGGAATGAAAAATTGGTTTTTGGTTCATTACTCATAAACTGTAATAGAAAAATGTACAACGTTTGTCCATCTGATGTGTGTCCATCTAAATTTGCGTCCAAATTGTAGGTCGCAATTTTTGAGATATTTTGATGAAATTTGTTACAGTGACGTGTTTTGGCTCAAGGACGAACCATCTTGAAAATAGTTTTGATCGGTTCACTTTTTCGATCACTTTCCATATAACGTTCTATTCCGAAAAGTTGTTCCATGGAAAAAATTGTAATTTTCAAAAGTTCTCAGCAAAAGTGGCTAAGTAGTAGTATTTCGACATTCAAAATTGGTATGAAAACTTCGGACCGGCTGGAGCAATTTTCGCACCCCCTCTTATATAACGAAAACTGATATTCATAGGACAAAAAGGTATAATTTACAACCCTTCCAGATAAAAATTATATCATAATAGAAATTTAGCAAAAAAAACTGTGCCAAATTTGCACTGTCTAGGTCTATTTTGTGGATCCTACCCTAATAACGATTTCCACAAAATTTGGTCATTTGTAGACCAGAGAAGTGTTAGTTTTAATATGCGATGATGAATTCTGCCCTGCACTGTAAACACTGAGCTTGTACTATATTAGGTTGGCTTTTGTGGCTGCTTCTCCATAAATACTAACATGAAAAATATGCCTTTATATAGAAACAAGATATACTTTTTGTGCTCTATAAAAAAATTTGTGTAGGGCATGTAATCGTCGGCCTTGTCCGACTACAATGTTCTTACTTGTTTTTTTAATATCTCTGAAAGAGATAAAAAGAAACTTCAAAAAGCTCACAAAGTATATAAATGTTTGGACAGCTTCAAACTCGAAATGCACCTAAACATATCCGTTTTTTCGTCTGTCCATCTGTCTGTCTGCGCAACTGTATCGTATTTGTGGTAAAGAGTCTCCCATTATTAAATTTGCAAAAGAATTCGGGAGGAACCTGAAGTTTCCACAGGACACGCTTACAATGCCCACACGCCTATGCGACACAAAAATCCTTATTTTGAAAATAGAAAAATTAACTGCGTTCATTCCACATTATAGAACATGAAAATACAGTTCTTCTGTTTTTGTCTATTTAAAGATAACGGTCATCTGTATAAAAGGTCCGGTTACGAGCGAATATAATTTTCTTATTGGTTTTCACATGTAATAATTACGCCCATTATAAATCTTTACTTTCGAATAAAATACCAAAAGCAAACTCCCAGCTAAAGTGAATATTAGATAAATTTAAGTGAAATGAATAAAAACTTAATTTTTTCATTGATTATTCTCCATAATATCAATTATTTAGAATCAATTATATTATAAAAAGCAATCTCCTCAAGCATTATAACATCTTAATTATATAGTAATTGCCAAAGTCACCCGTTGGTTACAGCGTACAAATGATCGTTTAACTCGAATTGAAGTTAAGCATGTGGGCAATTTCAATGGAACAAAAGAATAGAAAATTTCTAATAAGGTCACCCGCAGCTGACTTTCCGCTCCCGCATGTATCAGATTATATATGGGATTTAACTTAAATTTCAGCCGATATTGCAACAATGTATTTAATGAGATTCGGTTGGCTTTGGAATATGGAACCAAACGATACAAACTTTAAAAAGGCGGAAACAAGTAATAAATTCCCAAGCACATAGCGCGCTCTCCGAAGGTAAATGATCCACGTAGACTGTAAAGGAAAAACATGCGAAGAACCATGAAAATTGTTTTGCCCCTCCACAAATTTTATGCTCTATGCCACTTGCGTGTGGGCGGATGCCTCTCTTTTAGAGATAAAAATATTTGAAAGATACTGCAGGGCCGTATTAGCAACATACACGATTCGCCATCCATTGTGCCTATGTACTAAAATTCCCCCTCCCCCCATTGTTACCCACAGTACCGCCAGACTGTTTGCAATAAGTGCTATTCATTTCTTTCTTCTGTTTCCATCCTTCGGTTTCTTAATGCGACATATTTATATAAATTTCTCGCCAAACCGCTGACCTTGCTCCAAGTTTCTATGATATCGGTCATCCTGCTACTCGTGGACACGAGATACGGGCGAATGTGTTTTCGTTTCTTTGCCCGCTTGAAACTTAAGATATACTTACCTTTTTTTACGCCCATTGGCGTAAATGGTAAAACCAGTTGCTAGTGAAATTACTAAAGAAACTATTAAGGACTTGCCGGTCTTACCCAAATATGGTAAACAGCCAAGCCTACAATTGACTAAACAGGCATTTCCCATAGTAAGGCGCTCCTCAGCCTCAACGGGCGCGGCTATACCCAACATACCAAAACTATTATCTCTCGAGATCTACAATCCCGCGATCGA